CTTTTATAGAATTTTTGTTTTGGCTATCATATTTTTAATATCCACAGATTCTATCTATTGTCTATTCTTTTTTATTTTTTTAAATCACATTCCGTTCTTTTTCTAAGGATTAACATCTTTCATCTCTCTGAGAACATCGTGTCTTCTTTAAAGTATTCTTCTAGTCTCAGCATTGTCTCTGTTTCCTCTGGTTTTCCTTTGTTTCTTGCATTTTGGAGGCTTTCTTCTAATATTTGATTATGGTTTGATGCCCTGTTATTTTTAGGAGTGAGTCACTAAGAGGCTGATTAGAAGCTTTGAAAACGGGTTTCTAATAGGGCCACGGAGTAGCTGAAGAGTTCTATGGGAGAGGGGTCGGCAGAGGCGAGTATCTGCAGGTTTTCCCTCGGGGACAGGGACGGCTGTACTTAAACTTCGAAGGCTTAAACAACAATTCCTGCAGCAATCCTCAGGGGTGCAGCAAGCGAGGCTGCCAGCTGGAGCTGCCCAGCAGGAGGGAGCTGGGAATGACACTGCTGGACACAGCACGTCCATGAATCCCCAGGTTCCAAACCTATTTCTTGTTCTGTCTCTTGTGCTGGGGACCCACTGCTCCCAAGTTCAGAAGGTCTCCGCCGGTTTCTCAAAGACTCTTGCACAGAGGTGGAAAAGTGGTCCCAGGTACCAGAGGGTTTTGAAAGTCTAACTAATCGTCGTGGAGACTCCAGAGGGAACCCGTCCACCCACCACCCGGCTCTCCCTCAGCCTCCTGGAGCCAGGCAGTGAGTCAGCTGTGTCCGCCTCCATGCCCTTCCACAAGCACTTGGATTTGACCTTTCCCGTTCTGCCGAGTCATGCACTACCCTCCATGCAGTTTCCATCTTTGTGTCCTGCGGCTCACAGTTATTTATGTCTCCTTGGTTTATCAAAGACAGAGTTCATACTTCCTTTTTTTAATACTCTCTGTTGTTTGGGGTGATTTTTAAGAATAGATTGAGAGACAGAGGAAGAGCAAATGTGTCTTTATTTAGACATTTTGAAACCAGAAGTCTCCAGCCTTTTCTTTTTCATGAGTCTTTGTTGCACCATACTCTTTAGTAAAATTCTGATTCATAATTTCTGGCTTCTGGGTTGTATTTGTAACCAGCCTTTGTTTTGCTGGTTCCAGACATGTGGCATTTAGTTTATTAATGAATTAACAATTTCCACATTTGCTTATCACATCCCATTTGCAGTGACTACTGTCTGCATGAATAGGACATACTGAATGTAAAATAATTGGGAGAGCGTTGGTCACCAACCTCTGGTAGTGCTTGGACTCCTGGCTCACAGGCTGCTTGCCCCTCATCTGTCCCCTGCCCCTCCACCCTGGCCCCTCTCCTCCGAGGGGGATGACTCCGGGGACAAGTCCCCCCACCCCGCATACCATCTCCTCCCTGCGCTTCTTTTTCCCCTGTCCTGCTGGGTTCCTAGCAATGCTGCTCTCTAACCCCAGCTCCTAGAGTGCAGCAGCTTCCAGCATCACAAGGGCTCCTTCCCAGTTGCTACCTTCGACCCTGCACCTCTGTAGATAATTTCCCTATTAAACTTTCTTCCATTGTGTGCTATGTGCCATTTATTTCCTACCAGGGCACTTACTGACACATCAATCGGAAAAAAGATCATTTTCAACTAGTTCATCTGAAATCTCTACAGTTCTTGGGCTTTTTTTTTTTTTTGAGACAGGTTTTCACTATGTAGTTCAGGTTGGCCTTAAACTCACTAGATAGCCCAGGCTGGCCTTGAACTCATGGCAATCCCCCTGCCTCAGCCTCCTGAGTGCTGGGCTCTGATTTTTACAAGAGTCACATAGACAGTTGGCACCTAATTAAAGACTGTGCTGCTTACAGGCTTCCCTTCAGTCAAGACTCTGTTTTACTGAGGCGAGGCTGGGGGGCAGACTGCTTTCCACATAATGACGCTGCCCTCCTATAAGTGGGTCAGACCAGCAGAGAAGCCCGGATACACATATTGTGCTCTGTGCTACAGCCACTCGCATCACACACTACCAGTAAAGACATATTTGCTTCTTTTTCCTTGAAAAGCAGACAGTCAGAACTAATTCCAAAAGTTCTTCATCTTCCCTTTCTTTCTTTCTTTCTTTTTTTTCTTTTTCTGAGACAGAGTCTCATTATGGAGCCCAGGCTGGTCTCAAACTGGTGGCAATCCTCCTGCCTCAGCCTCCTGAGTGCTGGTATTACAGTCCTGGGCCGCCACACCTGGCTACTTCTTTTTCTTCAGACTTAACATATTAAAGGAAAAAAATAAATTTCATCAATCCCCCCATTAACAAAGAAATGAAGTCCTGTACTTCAGACTTCCCTCCAAATATCCAATTACCACTTTTTTCATGCACTGCCGATTTTTTTTTTTTTTTGGTACCGGGGATCAAACTCAGGTCCTTGCGCTTGAGCTGACTTTTTTAATCTAATAAACTTTTCTATTTCCTCACCTTTCACGGACTGTTCATCATATTCCTATCTCAAATTGTTCTAGCCAAAGGGTTGTTTCATTTTGTTTCCTTTTTGAGGCAGAGGGTGACTGAAACCAGAGGCTTCAACTGAGCTACATTCCCAGATCCCTTTCAGTTTTTATTTTGAGACAGGGTCTTGCTAAGTTACTAAGTTGCCCAACTGGGACTCAATCCTGTGATCCTCCTGCCTCAGCCTCCCAGAGTGCTGGAACTCCAGGCGTGTACCACCATACTCAGCTGTGTTCTTGCCCAAGTTTTGTTCAACTTTTGTATTGCTATATCAAAGGCTTTGTCTTACTTAACCACTTGGCAGCAACTGGCAACACTGCCATTTGTTTCGTGAAGCATCTCTTCCTTGCTTTGCTGTTGTGCATGCCTCTGGTTTCCCCACTATTTCTTGGACTACTCCTCAGTCTCTTCAGTAGAATATCCTCTTCCGCCCAAGCCTCGCAGGTTCAACTTACTGGGGTTCTGTGCTGGTCTCCCTAATCTTCCCATCTATACATCACCCCTGGGTGGTCTCATCCATTCCTATGGCTTCAAAAGCCGATTTCATATACAACGGTTCTCAAACGAACCATCTCAGACCCAGAACTCTCTCCTGACCTCCACAAATTTTTTTAAAACTAAATACTAGAAGACTCCATCAGGATGACTGTGGATTCCTGACACACAGTATTTCAGCTTCCCCTCAAACCACATTTCCATCTACACTCCTTATTCCAATGAATCACACCAAGCCAAAGACTAGACGATAACCCTTGATTCTTTGCTATTCCCATTCCCCACACTCAGTAATGCCCGAGCCCTACTGATTCCAAGGGCTACCTTGGATCCATTATCCAATTCTCTCCATTCTTACTGCCTCCCCCAGATCAAATCATGTCCACAGTTTATACTGTTATCCTCAAATGCAGACTTTATAATACAACCAGCAGGATCTCTCTCCCTACAGATACAATCATGGTACTCTGCTTCTGAAAGCCTGAGTTGGCTTCCTACCAGTGTTAAGATGAAGCCTGAAGTCTTCACCATGGTTTACAAGGCCCGGTGTCTCAGCTCTTACTGTTACCCTACTACTGTATGCTCCCCAACAAGCCCTTGGAGTTCCTCCAACAAGCCATCATTCTTACTCTAGATATTTCCACAGTCTGTTCCCGCCACCTGACAGCATGCTTACCTGACGTTATCAGTGGGACACCATCAGTATTTCTGACTAACAAACATCTACAACTCCCTGAATAACTCAGTGTCTCAGCGTGGACATGCAGGGCTTTCTAAATGAGGGTTAGATCCACTCCAATGGCATACTTCATTCTATTATAATTGCCTGTTTATTCACCTGTGTTCCCCTGTTAGATCATTACTGGAGAGGGTTAAGAGTTAACATATTCAGGGGCCCGGAATGTAGCTCCCTGTCGCCCTACCTGCCTGGTAAGCACAAGGTCCTGAGTTCGATCCCTAGTATCAGGAAAAACCAGAATACGCCTATTATTACTCCAAAGTTGCCACCAAATAAACAAGGGTGGAATGATGAATATGCAAATGAACAAACCATCAGATAACAAGTTCCCTTTCTCTTCTTAAAATAACAAGTGCGTTATCATGCCCCTCAAGTAAGCCACCGCTCACAAAGTGTTCACTAATGTATACTCGCACCTGACAACTCAAGGAGATTTCTTCCTGAGCCTTTATACTTTCTCCTTCATTTCTCCCTTTCTCCCCACATACAAAAGTTTCAAAGTGAAAGTTGAAGCATGCTTCAAAGAGCCACGCATGTGGTTGACTTTTTCAGAATCTGCCTCATGCCCAGTCTACTCCAAAACCATCCGTCAACTTGGTAGTTTACATACTTGGGGTACACAGAACCCATGGTGACGTTTTATTTGAACCAGAGCATTAATTAAAGCTGAGCACACCTGCTCTGAAACGCAAACTCAGAGATTTACGTGAACTTGTAAAGTTAAGACTTGCTGAATCTCTTGTAGGGTTTGTATTTCCTTTAAATAAGCATTTCCTCTTCCCGATGCAATATTTTTTTAAGTTTATTTCAGTGACTAACCTACTGACATAAACAGATATGCTGCTCGTGCTTTATTACCTGCTCTTTATCCTTTTTACCCACTGCTTGTCAAATATTTAATTTAAGGTTGAGGGTGAAAATAAGCAGGCCCAACCATGCGGCCTAGAATTTCTTACTCTAAATTTAACTTGTTAATGAAGTCATCTCTTCAAAAAGATGCCTTTGCAGTCAAGGTCCACTTAATTCAAGACCATTTTAATACAGTGATACAGAGCTCTGTTCACGCGTGATGTGGAGGCCATGGGCCACCTGATGCAACCACAGTAACGCATCACAGCCGGACCTCCTCAGTTACCGAGCTCACTCCCATATGCAGCCCTGTTAGTCAAACAACATTTTCATTCAAGGGAGACACCCTGCTTTTGAGCTTGAGGTGCTCGTGCCTTCAGAAGGGACACTTTGGGTTTGCTTATCAGGGCTAGTTACCTTGGACAGCCTCATGCCCAGGACTGTGAGGGTCACTAAGCCAGCACAGCAGACCAAAGCGCTGGAGCTGGACAGGCCGGAACTTGGCGGGATAGTTCCATCCACCAGGCAGTTCATCCCAGTCGGGTCACAGAGACCAAAGTGCTCCTGAGGACGTAAGAGAAGGCAGCGATCGTAAGCTCAGTGTCAGATTCCAGGGGTAGCAAAACCTCCTTCCATCCCTTAGGTAACAAAAGCCATCAGCAAACTTCTTACACTATCTATGGACACTAGTTGTGCAATTCAATTTAGTGGAGATTACATACGATACCTGATTTAACAGCTTTTACCCAAAAGGTAAGGTGATCTGGAAATAACTTTTACTCTGTTGGACACAAAGCTAGTTATCCCTTTCTAAAAATCATTTTAAATGTTTTTTCTTGATAATCATTGATTTGAACAAATATGCAAAAATGTAAAGCCATTTTAATTCAACTTGCCACACAGCAAGACAAGAAATACACACTTATGAGCGAGGTAGGTAAACCTCAGCACCAGCCCCTGATACAGTATGATCAAAGTGGAATCCTAGGGCCAGGGATTTAGCTCAGTGGTTTCACCGCCTGCTGCGCAAGCACAAGAACCCGAGTTCAATCCCCAGTACGAAAACAAAAGTGGAACCCTAAGCAGGGGCTTCTCTCCATGGAGCATGTTGCTCCCAAAAGTTCCAAACTTTCTCAATTTTGCATTAGTTACAGAAAAACCTAAGCACTAGGAGATGTAGAGACTTTTCCGAGATCACACATAGAGGGCTGGGAATAGGCCCAGGCTCTGGTTCCCAGTAGAGAACTTCTCCTCTGCTGCAGTTAGAAACCTGGGCCAGCAGCTGTCACCGTGATTTAATGTAAGTCAGCTATCTGAGGAAATCCAGGGGTTTTTTTACTAGAGTTTACAGATACAATTTAGCCATATGGTAGCTATAAAGACTGCCACATTAGAACTCAGCCACAAATGTCCATGCAGACTCCAAACAAGGCAGGGAAACACTATTTCTACAGGTAAGTAAACCCAAATACACAATCAGGGTCTGATTTAAAGATAGAAAGCTCCAGTATACTTACATGGATACCAAAGGCTAGGATGCTTTGAACAATATCATGTTATAACCTTTGTAGTTTAGAATTAAAAATAAATTCAAGACTACCTCCTCCTCAGGAAGTACCATCATCTGCACAAAGTATTCAAACAACTCAAGACCAAAGTATGAATTACTATTATATTACTTAATTATGTATTTCATCAGACATATTATTCTAGGGAGAAATTTCAATAAACCAGTTAGAATAACCGAGTAACAACAGAACTCTACAAATAAAAGACTGGTTTGTTCCCTTAATTTCTGTCCTTTTATCTTAGTTGGCAAAATCTGTATACCACAAAAGAAAAGATTCATTCAGATGTATTTCTCTTCTTGATTTCAGTCATCTAAAAATTTCCTTCCAGAAATACAAACAAATTAGAAGCTGAGACATGGCTGCTGCCAATCCCCTTTCATACAGAACGTCAGGCAGCTTGTTTAAAACAGTAATCCTGGGATGATACTGTACATTTCACTAGAAACTGGTCCATAGGGTGCCCCGAACGTGCATCGTACTTACAAACTTAGCATGCAATGTTTAAATTGAAACATACAACACTCGAAAAATGCAAGTGGGTTGTGCAGATTCTGTGACAGCTCTGTCCCAAGGGAAAACATGTTCAATTTCCTCTAAGCAGATTACCCTCTGAAACTTTCTAATATCTGAATTTGAAGGTTTCTGAACAGGATAACATTTAAATTACTTTTTGCCAAAAGTTCATCGTACAAACCTACTCTTTGCACATAAATTGTCCAACTAAAGAGGATGGCTTAAAGCCCTAAAAGGCTCAAAAGCAACACAAAATGATGTGCATTATTCGGGTCACTTTATCCATGTACTACAAAAAAGCATCTTGTTATAAGGAAGATCAAATTGCCTTTTCAAGGCAAATGCTTCCAAATACTGTGATTCCCACAAATGCATATGACAAGCCAGATGATTTGAAGATTTAAACCCTGCCAATAACTTTTCCCAGAAGTTGTTACCATGTGTCTGGGCTGGGAGAAAGACACACAGGAAAGAGAGAGATGAATTAGGAACCCTAAGGCCAGAGCTGCACAGTTAGAGCACCAGACTGCACATCAGAAATAATTCTGTTGCATTTCTGTCGTAGATATGTCCCTGAGTCCTAGATTATTCACAGCAATGTTTCAGGTAGGGCCACAAGGTAGTCAGGGACATGAGCTCTCTAAAACACACGTAAGTTTGTTTGCTTTTGACCCACGAAGGCAAAATCCACCTTTTCATGTCCTTTACCTATGATTCTACACATAGTCACTCTATCCAAAATACTTACTGGAAAATAAAAGTACCTCTAAAACAGAAAATACTCATTTTTTCTTGTCCTTCATGCTGATCTAATTATGAGAGAAAGTGGAAATATTTCATCTTCCTGTTCTTCTATGTGACATTAGAGATTTTCAAGGTAGCTATTCAATGCTTCTGTGGAACTACTTGCACTGATGTATTTTATCACATCTTCTTCTAACCCCACCTGAAGTAGCAGTGACATAGTAGTTACCACACACTTAAAGCCCAGTATCGCTGAGCACGGTGTCATTCTTACAACAACTCGTCGTTAGGATAGCAGTGACGTTGTTTACAGACAGATCTGAGACTTAGGATACTGTAGCACAGTGGGGTAAGGTCTAGATCTGAACCCGGAGCTGGCCGACTCTAAATGCTACTACAGCCTGCTCCCAAATATCCCAAGAACAAAATGTAAGTAATATCACTAGGCTGTATCAACAGTAAACATGAGCAAAAAATCAAAAAACCAGAGTTTGTCAGCTGCGCCTAATTTATGAACAGCCAGCTATCTGCAAGATCCTGACTGCCCCCTGTGGATAGTACCCACAGACCGTCATTTCTTCCCCACCGTCTGAATCATAAGCCAGCAAAATACAAGAGAAACAGCAGTCAGTACTGAAAGGAGACAAAAATGACATAGCAAACAAAATAAAGCTGACATAATACACACCTTCTAAAGCAATTTACCTGAATTCCTTTAAATCCACACAGGAAATAGTTGTGCCACAGAAGCTTGGTTTTGTCAATCTGAATGTTGTTGACACTAGTACTGAAGTCCCTGCAAAAGACGAGACGCGAGTCATCAAAGCCAGGCCGTGAACTGCGCGATTAGTGGCTGACTGCTGCCATCTAGTGCCGAGACCGTTACCCTGCCACTCTCCTGTCTTGACTTCCAGCACAGGTTCTTCGCAGTGTACCCAGAGCAATGAACACCTCCCGCTACAAAAGGAAGGTGTGATAGCTTCAGCGACTAATCCACTGCTAGCTGGCCCGTTGTGTTTCCTGAACTGCATGTTTCAGCAGAATCTACAAGCATTTTCTCTCCCACATGGGCCCTTGTTAAGCTTGGCCCTCTGCGGGCTGCAGTCTGGCAGAGCCCAGCTCAACAGGGGTCCTCACTGCCTTCCTTCCCCACTCTCTCCTCCCATCCACTCCAATCACCTCATGCTTTGCGAAAAAGAAGTAGGGAGCAAGCCAATTATTCTAATGGATTATCAAAAACAAAATTCTCTGAGTTGTGCTCATATAAATTAACAAATGAGTAAATAGCTAAATGAAGGAAAAGAGAAAGCACTTATGGTGAAACTCCAACTAACAGATGTAGAAGAAACAGTACATTCTGTAACTGTTTCAAAAAATAAATCAATAGATGCTAAAATTGGAGAATAGAAATGTGATTTTAAAAAAAAGAAATGTGGAAATCAGTGTGGAGACACCTGAAAGAACTAGGACTAGAGGTCCCATTTGACCCAGCTATTCCCCTGCTGGGGATCTTCCCCAAAGAATTAAAAGAATCATAGCACAGCGATATATGTGCACCCATGTTCATAGCAACACAGTTTGTAATAGCTAAAGCTTGGAAACAGCCCAAATGCCCATCAGCTGGAGACTGGATAAAGAAAATGTGGTTTTTCTATAAAATGAAGTACTACTCAGCCATAAAGAACGAGAAACTAGAGACATTTATAGCTAAATGAATTCATATTGAGGACATACTCTTAAGTGAAGTAAATAAGACACACATGTGTAAATACCAAATAGTTTCTCTAGTGTGAGAAACTGAGAGTGTAAATAAGGACTAAAAGGATTAATATCTAATAATTGATAATTTGAAATAGGAAAAGGTCCAAAGGGGTAGGGGTGGTGGGAGGAGATGGGGAAAGGAAAAAAAGGAAAGGAAAACTTATGAGAAAAGAAAAAAATGGAAACGAAATCTATGTAAATAGGGAAGGGTGGAGGGAGTGAAGGGCACACAGGTAATGGGGAAAAAATAAGAACCAAGATTCATCATGTACAGGTACAAGCACCCAATGATAAATATAAATGTATTGTATACCTAAAATGTACCAATAAAAGAATTTAGACAAAAAAAAAAAAAAGAAATGTGATGAGAAAAAAGATGTTTACATAGACTTTAAGTATTTATCCCAGAAAATCCGTACTTACTGATTGCAAAGAGAGAAAAACAGTAACTTTATGGTGGAAAAATCTGGCAGACCCCATTATAATCAAATAATCAAAATTAATATCGCCAATAAAGGGGCCTTGTGTGTGTCCTTCATATAATCAATCCACTGAGGACACGTCCATGGACATGTGTGAATTCTTTGTACTGTTTTCACAAATTCTTTGTAAATGAAAAAATACTTCAAAATGAAAAATAGGTAAATGGGTAGACAGATAGATAAACTCCTAAATCAGCCAAAGGATAAAATATGTGAATTGGGCAAGGGTTAACAGGAAAGGGGGAAAATGAAACAATATTCCCCGACTTGACTCCTCTTCGTATGATTTACTAAGTAGCTACTATGTGCCAGTCATTGAAATAGGCACCTTCGATGCATTGTCTTAACTCATTAATATAAATACATCATCCCCTCAAAAAATATTTAATTCCTGACAACTTCAGTGTATAAGGCATGCAGAATAAAATAAAAGCAAGAGGAAAAGGACTTGTCTTTGAAGAGTTTGTAATCTTACCAAGATGACACGAACACAATCATTAGCCAACAGTAGAAACGTCAAGTGATGGGGTGTCTCATCAGAGACGGGATGTGAGGCTGCAGGGGTATTATCTCTGGAGAGGACACGTGTGCAGGGAGCTCAGGAAGGTTGTGTGCTTCTCCCAAGAGACAGCCTGACTCCAGCTCACGAGCTCTTTATTCTATTACCACCCACAGAAGTTAAAATATGTTACCCACCGCTAACAAGCGGTCACAGAATTTGGAAGCAGGTGTGTTCATAAACCTGGTGGGTTCTATTGCTGACCAGTAGGAGACCTTGAAGGTCATGAAGGAAAATAAAAACAGGATGGGAGGGAATGTGTTAGGAAAAGATAAAGAGGCAAGTTGCTTTAGTATGCGGAGCTAGATGAGCAACATTAAGGGAAGAAGTAAAAAGTCCCAACTTCAAGAACTGGAGGTATAGCTTAGGTCGGCTGTAAACACTGCTCTTTACCTATTTCTGTTCATTCCAGCATCCTTATCTTGCACTCTGCTTAGTCTTTTCCAGAGGTTCAAAAACGGGCATTTTCCTACCAGCCCACCTCCCTGCACTGCAACACCCATCAGCTCTCTCCACTCCTGCTCCCATGCTGCAGAAGTCTGAGGGTACACTGCTAAAAATGAGCAGACATGATCCCCTGCACTGATACTTTCTCCTTACACACCTCATTCATTCACTTGGTCTTTCCAGTGCCTACCCTGTTGTACGCAGTACTGGGCAGACCATGCACAGTAACAATAGCATCAATAATGTGAAACACTCACAGATTTGACAAAATATGTACAAGGCATGGATCCTGAAAATAAGAAAATATTTCTGAGAGTGAAGAAGTCCTAAATAAATGCAGAGATAGGCTATGTCCGTAGATTGGAAGATTCAATACTGTTAAGATCCAATTCTCCTCAAAATAATCTATATATCTATATATCCTGTAAAATCCCAACCAAAATCCTGGCATAGACAGTGAGTAGCTGATTCTAAAATTTAAAAGGAAGTGCAAAGCCCATTAGAATAGCCAAAACCTCTCTGAAAAGGATAACATCAGGGGAATTACACTGACTTCAGGACTTCTTATGAAGCTAGTTATCAGATAGTATGATCATGGCATAAAGACAGACAAAGAGATCAATAAAATAATGTCCAGAAATAGACTCTCACATTGATCTATCTTTATGCTAATAAAAGGTGGGAAATAATTGAAGAGCTACATGCAAAAAAAAAAATCTCAACTCTTGTCTTACGCCACATACAAAAACTGAACTCAAAATGGATCATGGGCCTGGGCATAGGTGCTAAAACTATATGACTTCTAGAAGGAAATACGGGGAGGGAATTTCAGTGATCTTGGGTTTGTAGTCAAAAAGTAAAAGCTGTGAAAGAAGAAAAGTTTACAGCATGTCATCAAATTAAAAACTTTCTTTCCTCAAAAGGCACTATAGAAAGTGAAAATCCAAACCACAGACTGGATGAAAATATTTGCAAAACATATATCTGACAAAGGACTTTTACCTCTCTATGAAATTGACTCAGGTTACTTGACAAAGCGTAAGAACTAGAAACATCTGTTATGCATCAGCTAGACTCTGTCTTTTACTGAGGCCAAGGCATTGGAGAAGAGAAGCAATTGTCCCTACAGTCACAGAGCTGATAGTTTACTGAGGTATACAGTAAATAAAACAGGTAAGATGATGCAGCATGGTAAGATGCTCTGGCTGGAGAATTAGAGGTCCCATAGTAACACAGGAGCAACACCAGACCTGACTTTGCTGGAGATGGTTACCACAGAAGATGGTAGGTACCCTCTGGGCCATTTTCATCTTTGAATTGCCCAATATCTAAGACAATGTCTAGCACATAGGAAGTCTTTTGTAAATGTTCCTTAAATGAATAAACAAATATTGAATAGTGACCTTAAATGCTTTTAAACATCAGCTGTGAAGTATCAACAAATTACATGATTTACTGTAGGTTTCATATTTTCTAAGGAGTTCATTTAAGTAAAAGCACACTACCACACCTTCACACACACACACACACACACACACACACACACATCACATACATTAGCATCCTCAATACTCACGGATACAAGGGATTTGTATTGGCCAGTTGGAGAATGTATGTCTCCACAGGTTCCACAGCTATTAACATATCTTGTTCTACAGCCATAGGAAGAACGGAATAGCCACAGTAATCTATATGCTCGCCTAGAAAAAAAAAGCAATTTTTATCACTACTAGCATATGAAACAATAGAAATTCAATCAAGTTAACATAAAAGAAAAACTCGATCAGAAGCCAGGATTTTACAGAAAATAAAAGTGTGGACAGGGAATTACTTGATTTTCTTTTTACTCCAGACATCTGGGCCAGGAACTGCTAGCCATACATATATTAGTGTCTATTAATTTTTGGACTTCTTTTAACCTTCACCTTTTTTCCCTATTTCTAATGATCATTTTCAAAATTTTTGCCATGTGAGTAGTCATATGAGCATCAAGCAAACTAATGTCTCCTTCCACTGTTGCTGTTTTATTAACTTTTAAAAATAGGAACAATTGAGCCTTAAGTACACTCTCCCTCATATTAAGGTTAGCAATTAGATCAGCACTGATATGTCATGTGTAGTGTGCTACGCAGAGCTAGGAAAAAGAAAAGGAAGCTAGAAAAAGATATATAATCTGCACTTTCAATGTATAAGCAAATATAAGGAACAAACTATTCTCTTCATTCTACTTCCTCTACAATTCACCAGTAGGAATTCTTTTCTTATTATACTTTAATGCAAGTTACCATTTAAATTCAATGTTGTTATTCATAAAGGCTGAAACACAAAATAACAAATTCAACCAAATGGGCTAAGCGCGCTCATTTATTTCCCTAGTACATAGTTTTATATCTCATTGTTCCTATGGCAGAAATTAATCAACTAGAAAACATAAAATTAATAGAAGACAATTCAACTGTATAATTATATTTTTATTCTGAATATTAGAAGGAACAAGTCTTTTGTTTTATTTACACTGATACGCTCCTAAAAACGAAATAATAAAGTTTTTTTTTAAAGATTAACAATGATTGATGGACAACCAGTTTTCAAAATTATCTTTCTCCCCAACTATCTTTAAGAAGACAATAATAAAAATTAGTAGAAAACACACACTGAGGCAAGCAGACACCTGGGAGGAACTCATTCTTCAGGGGAGACTGCCCGCCACTGCATGGTCTGAGCCTTCCGAGAATGAACAATTCCTCCCTTTGTCAAAACTGATGAGGGGTGGGATTTAGCTCCGTGGTTCCGCCATCTGCCTCAAAAGCACTAGGACCCGAGTTCGATTCCCGGTACAAATCAAAAAAACTGATGAAACAAAACCGCCTGGGTAGGGGTCAGAAAGGAGCAGAAACTGTTGGCAAGGAAGAATAACAAAGCTATTCCATCCTCAGTATTTTAAAAGAAACCCAAACAATGCTTGTAACCAAGGCTGGCATTGATTTCATCCCATGCACTAATCAACCGCATTAGAATCACTGGCAAACCTGCCTCCCACTTTTTTTTTTTTTTTGGTACCAGGATCAAACTCAGGACCTTGCACTTGGGAGGCAGGCACCGGAACCACTGAGCTAAATCTCCGGCCCAACCTCCCACTTTTCTCATCAGAAAAGAGTCAACAAATCTACTAGAATAAGAATTCTTTACCAGGAAAACCCTGCTCCCAAGCCCAGGTGAAGCTTGGCCTGGTCTTGGCGGCCCTCGGTGACAGGGAAGGTAACCTCCTCTCGCTCTGCATTTCCAGGCCCTTTTCCCGCGCTTGTGTTCTTCACTCCCGTCCATGACTCACCACCGCTCTACTCCTCTGTAGACCTCAGCACCAGGTTCTAGCCCCGTCTCCATCCCAAGCCCACTGGAACCTGGAGAACATCCGGGTGACCCACCTCACCCGGGGCCCAGCATCCCAATCCTTTGGTCTTCAAAGAACCTGAACTCTGTGCGCCTGCGTCTATCTTAGGGCCTTGAGACAGCCAATAAAGACAGCAGATAGACCTTCTTGTCGCCCCAATCTTCTCTACCCATGAAACTGGGGCTCCAAATCTCATCCTTTTTACTAAAATTTCCCATTCTGCTCTCTCCATTCACTCTATCCCACTGTGACTCCCCATTTGCTATGCTAAAACACCCTATATTTCTTAAGTCCTCTATTATTTGCTTCATAATAAAACAAGATTGTTTGAGTTGATAAGTTAAACTGGATGGTGAATACATGGAAGCTCTGTACACTACTGCAATTACTATTTTATGTTTTCATTTTCCATGGTAAAACAGGATTTTTAAATCCTCCTTTGACCTTGGACCTCCTTTGACTCCTTTCTGGGCCCCTCATCCCATTTTCTCTCGATAAAACTTGTTAACACTAGAAGTCACCAATTACAATTTTCCCAAAGAGGCTTCTCCAGCCTCCTTCAAGTCTGGGTTGGGTAACATTCCAGTAACTGAGGGCCAGGGATTTAGCTTAGTGGTGCCGTTGCCTGCCTCAAAAACACAAGGTTCTGAGTTTGATCCCCGGTAACAAAAAATGATAGAAAATTTTAAAAATTTTTTTAAACATTCCTGTAACTGCTACTGTAGCCTGTACATTCCTGACAAGTAACATTTAAAAAATATTTCCGCTGTACGTATCTTTGTTCACATGGAACTTTACATGGATGTGAAATAAGTAAATGACATAAACAAGAGGCTGCTCTTATTGGGCCCTTTGCATGGCTGGCAGCCTAAGTGGTCAGCACCTGCGCCAGCTCCAACCAAATCCTAGGGCTCTGCAGGTCAGTCAGGAGGCAAGGGCAGCACGGTGCTAAGAATACCACTGCATTTGCCATTGGACTGTTCATCCTGGGAGGGTGGGGACCGTGCCTTCTTAGTCTTACCATAGGAAATACACAACAGGGCCAGAGGGATTTAGCTCAGTGGTTCCGCCACCTGCCTTGCAAGCACAAGGACCTGAGTTCGATCCCTGGTACAAAAAAAGAGAAAGAGATACACAACAAATTCAACAAATAGAAGAATAACCCAAAGACCTCCTTCTGGCAAGATCTTGTGGGTCTTTTTCTATGTTCCATTCAACTTGTTTATACCACATGAAATATGCTTTTTTGATACGGTGTTTTCCTTGGCTTTCAAAATATCATCTGTGATCATTCATTTCAGCTGCAGCTGGACTTGGTTAAGAGGCACCTAGATAGATGATAAAGTACAATTTCTGCGTACATCTGGAAAGAAACTGGCATGTGTAGACTCTGTCATATTGGTTCTCTTTCTCTGGCTGATACACCATTCTTTCCCGGTCTTCCTCCTCCTCGTCCGTCCTTTTATCCTTACTCTCTCTTCAGGACCAGCTTGCTCTGCTCACCCATTAAATGAGCCTGCTGCCAAGGCAGCAGTCTGCTCTTCTACATTCAGTTTCCCTAAACAGCTGATCTATTCCAAGGGCTTCAATTTCTAGCTATGTGCCATCGATCCAGATCTATACTATCTCTCAGTGAGCATCAGAAACACATATCCAGATGCCTTTCTTGGAATCCAAAGTCATTTCAAACTATAAAATAGATGTATAAGCTCCATCTCCTCTAGCAGGATTCCTGTCTTAGAAAACAGTACCCCGTTGTCCAATATGGAGTTCATCACTCAATCCCTGCAGTTAGACACCTTGTGGCAGAGAACTAGAAGGCAGATCCAATACCTTTCGCTGCTTAGTTCCTTAGCATTGCCTCTGATCTAGTTCAGGGTTCCACTGGGGCCAATATTTAGAAAGTAGTAAGGATTTCACTGTTAAAACAAGAGATCATGAAAGAAGACACAAATAAATTGTTTTTGAAAATTTCAGACTCTAGGCCCCCTTTATGGAAAGGTTAACCTCTTGGGTAGATAAGTTATTATGCAAACAAAAACAGCAGGTATTTGAAAACAGTACTCAAGACAATAACTAAATATGTACACAGAGAGGAGGAATAAAAAGCACTTTCACTTCTTCCTCAGCGAAGTATGTGTTACATAAAGGTCTAAGGTTTGTTTTGGTGGCAAACTTTTTTTGTGTGTGTGGTACCGGTGATTGAACCCGGGTCCTTGCGCTTGGGAGGCAGGTGGCAGAATCACTGAGCTAAATCCCCGGCCCAGTAAATATTTTTATATGGAGAATTTTTTTAATTCTTCCAACTTCTTTCCAAAATGGGTGTTAAAAATTGGCTGCAGAGGGGCCAGGAATTTAGCTCAGTGATTTTGTCGCCTGCTGTGCAAGCGCAAGGACCTGAGTTAGATCCCTGGTACCAAAAAAAAAAAAAAATTGGCTGCAGGACAAAGTGATTCATTGAGTCTACCAAAAAAGTGGGGGTTTTTTGTTACAAAGAAGAAAAAAACTTACTCAAGGCTGATTCTGATATGACTGATTTCCTAAAATATCCTTCAAACAGAGTGCAAAACCAGCCTGCAGTTTGGTAAAGCAGTTTCCAAAGGCCAAATCCTGCATTTATTGCACAAAGCAAATGATCTTGCTTAATGCAAAAACAAACTTCATGGTGCACCATGTCAAGGAACGCGTGGACACCACCACTTTCAGGCCAACTTCTGCAGCAGAGTCTTTTGAACAGGATCCTAAAGATGGGGAGACACTGGGCTGGGGATTTAGCTCAGTGGTTCCACCACCTGCCTTGCAAGTGCAAGGTCCCAAGTTTGATCCCCGGTACCAAAAAAAAAAAAAATTGGGAGACATTGGGTGGGCATGGACTGGATGTAGGGTAGAGGTATTCTCTTCCTCACCTCTGGGCAGCCAAAGCCGACACTTACAGCAGCCAGCATGGCCTAACAAGATGTCCTGGAACATGGAAAGGCTCTGCATCTGCACTATCTAACACACTATTGAAAGGTGGTAGGAACAAGTGAGTTTAAGCTTTATTTCACTATAATTAATTATATTTAAATAGTCACACGTTACTACTGGCTCCTAAAACAGACAGTATAAACATATATCTTCAGCCAATGCAAAAATCATCATTTGTGTCTTCTAAGAAGGGACAGTAAATGTCATCATGCACAATATCCTCAGCAACGTCTCCATAATAACCTTGACAATGGATCTCAAAAAATTATAGATAGGCAAGGTACAAGTTGTTGAACAACTCCATATGAAATACACAGGAAAGAGGCCAGGGATTTAGCTCAGTGGTTCCACCACCTGCCTCACAAGCGCCAGGTCCCAAGTTCAATCCCCAGTACCGAAAGGAAGGAAGGAAAGAAGGAAGGAAGGAAGGAAGGAAGGAAGGAAGGAAGGAAGGAAGGCGGGCAGGCGGGCAGGCGGGCAGGCAGACAGACACAGGCTTCTGAAAGCCACCTTACTCTAGAATAAATTTAGAAGCTAGCAAAATAGGTTCCACATGGCTTTAAAATAATGCTTCAGGGCCAGGGATTTAGCTCAGTGGTTTTGCCACCTGCCTCGCAAGCTCAAGGACCCGAGTTCGATCCCCAGCACCAAAAAAATAAAATAAAATAATGCTTCATAAATAACATTTGTCTCAACAAGTCTTGTTGAAAATTCAAATAACCTTGCTGAGAAAAGTACAAGCAAATAAATTCAATAGCCTTTTGTGGAAAACACACAATTTAAATCCCATGAAAGGAATTCATTGTCTAGCCTACCTACTTTGCCTTTCTACCTGGGGAAAAAAAAAACTCTCACCAGAAATAATCAAATGATAAAATGATTAATGCTGTTCTCACTTAATGTTTCCTTTTAATCAAACTGCTGGCTGTAATGAAAACTGAAAATAACTCACATGCCATGAAAGAAAACTATTAAGCAAATTATAGAATAACAACTTTTGCTATTCAACAGGTTGAAGTTATTAAAATAATAATTACGACTTACATAGAAACAGAAGAAAATATTTATGATATATTAAATGAAAGAAAATAAAAATGGTATGTAATCTAACTTAAACTATATCAATTATTATATGCATAGGAGATGGACAGAAAAATGCTGCGCATTACTGTTAAACAGCTGTAATTTACTATTAAACTGTAGTACAACTCAAAGATTTCCACAGGAGAAACCAAAGAAAGGATAAATTCACCTAAAAAACTTGAAAAACTTGGACCACACTTTTAAAATCAAGGAATTAGAAGGTCAGGATTCCCCTAACCCAGTAAGTGTGAAGCCATCAAAATTTCTCACTGCAGTCTTAAAATGTAACCTGTGGTTGGGCTGGAGATTTAGCTCAATGGCACCACGCCTGCCTGGCAAGCACAAGGTCCTGAGTTTGATCCCCGGTACCAGAAAAAAAAATGTAACCTGTGGCATCCTCTAAAAATCAATATGAACTATTGGATTTCCAAAACTATATAGATTTAGAAAACAAATGGAGAAAATTAATATTATTGAATGGATTGGAAAAGATGAAAGTAAAGTGTGTCCCTTATATAGCAGTGTGTCTTCATGAGATATTTTCACCAAATATGTGAAATATTCTGTATGAAGGAAAAATTAAGAAAGCAATATACTAGCAAAAATTTGGATCTTACTAAAAGAGAAAAGGAATTTAAGAGAAGAAAGTTTTGAAATACCTATTATGTTGACTCTTCCTGGTGCTCGAACATAAAACTTGGGAATGGATCCAAACTTAGACTTAAACATCTCCTTTAGCTTCAGCAATCTGAAAACAAGAGTAGAATCTTTCAGATTACACATGGGAAAGCCCACAAGGGCCTGAGTGTATAGTCCAGTGGTAGAGTCTTGCTTACCTGCACAAGGCCCTAGGTTCAATCCTCAGCACCGCAGGGGAGGGAGGGGAGAAAGCAAGCAAGCCCGTAAGACACACGTACACACACACACACACACACACACACACATTTCATATAACCGCCACTTCCAATTATTCCAAAACAAAGAAGAAGAAAACTCCAAACTCTTCTCATGACAATTCTACCCCAGAAACCCTAGGACAATCCCAGGACAAACAGTATTGTTACCTCAAAAATCATACAATAGTACAGCTAAGCCCACTGAAGAATTAAAAAGTTAACACTTCTGCCACTGGCCTCGAAAGCGCAAGGTCCCGAGTTCAACCCCCGGTACCAAAAAAAAAAAAAGTAAACACTGACGCATCCAACAGAAAAATCTATTTGCCTCAATTATAACGTGTATAATTTTTCAATGGAGGGTACCAATGGGACTGGATTAAGACCCATCCTAAAGGAACATGACCTCATCTTAATCCGATTACAAGGATGTAATCCAAATCTGCAAGGATGCTAATCCCAATCCAGCCACATTCTAAGGCTCAACTGGACATGAACTGGGAGAAGAGGGGGTTCACAGCTTTCAAGCCCACACAGGGAGTCCAGAGCAAACTAGGTTGGGTATAAGGAGGCCGCGGTTGTAATTCTCATGGGGCTCCTGCTTCAGTGCCAAAATTCAGCACATCAGTTTCCCTTGGCCTACATTCCCTAAAACTCCAGAAATCAAGCTAGATATTCTGCTCGCGTTCCTTCCAGGTCCGAACTTCTTCTAGCAGACTCAATAATGTGATACTGTCAAATCACCTTGAGTCAACCCTGTGCCATCCATTGTTTATACTGCGGGATTACAATATCCCACATTGTATTGTGTCTAAGTAATAATATCAACACAGTGCACAATTATTAAAGCCACCCATATTCAGCAAGTAAGTAATTAACTGGTCTCAGGGACTAATTAGTTGTAAGAAGTGGAAACCCACACACACAAAAAAAAAAAGTTCAAGGAAAAGGACCCGGGATGTAGCTCAGTGGTGCCGCCGCCTGCTTCACAAGCACAAGGTCCCAAGTTCGATCCCCAGTACCAAAAAAAAAAAAGTTCAAGGAAAAGGACCCGGGATGTAGCTCAGTGGTGCCGCCGCCTGCTTCACAAGCACAAGGTCCCAAGTTCGATCCCCAGTACCAAAAAAAAAAAAGTTCAAGGAAAAAAATGGAAATTTATTATAATGATAAAAGATATGTTGAATATGGTCAGAAGTTACTCAGGCAGGAAATTAGACCATCACCAGCAACTTTGCTTATACTGGTGTCTTTGCCTCTCGGTTTTGCTACCCCACTCTCTCATCCCTCCAAAGGGACAAGAGCTCTTTGCATGCTGCATGCCTACGTTACCTTCTTGGTTCTGCTTCTCCATACCTTCAGTTTCATGACCTATGGCTGCACTGCACAAGACTTAATAGCTCTAGTGTCCCATACTATCTGTCTCATACATCTCTAGAGCCTTCACTTCAAATTCTCAAAAAGTATAAGATGTTGGGTAGAGTTTAGGTTTGGTACCCATCATGGTGCAATCATGTGTAGTCAGAGGGTCTGGTCATTTGGTACAAATAACGTCACTAACTGTAGTTACATATTGTGATCACCTGGGACCACTCCTCCAGTCGAGGGTATGAATGACAACACGAGGTCTCAGAGGAGACAATAACTGCTATCTCCAGCACATCATTCAAGGAACATTTACTGGTTGGGTATGGTGGCACACGCCAGTGATCTCAGCACTCGGGAGCCTGAGGAAGGAGGATCACTGTGAGTTCAAGGCCAGCCTAGGCTACTTAGTGAGTTCAGGGCCAGCCCGTGCTACATAGTGAGACCTTCTCTCAAAAAACCAAAAAAACAATCAAAATCCAGAATTTGTACAAGGAAAGAAAGTATAAACATCAGAGTATAAATTAATGAAATGGACACTAAAAAATAATACAAAGAATCAATGAATCGAAGAGCTGGTTCTTTGAAAGAATATACAAAACAGACAAATCCCTAGCCAATCTTACCAAAAAAATGAAAGACCCAAATAAATGCAATTAGAAAAAAAATAAATGCAGTTAGAAATGAAAAAGGCTAAATCACAAAGGACTCTGCCAAAATTCCGAAGACCATTAGTAACTACTTTGAGAACCTATACTCTAATAAAATGGAGAATTCAAAAGGAATGGATAGACTTCTAGATATATATGAACTACCAAGATGAACCAAGAAGATATAAAAATCCTGAATTCAATATCAGGCAATGAAATTGAAGAAGTAAGAATAATAATAATAATAATCACCAACTGAGAAAAACCCAGATCCCAATGAATTCACTGCCAAGTTGTATAAGACCTGTAGAGATCTGATGCCAATACTCCTCAAACTCTTTAATGAAATTGAAAGGACAGAAATACTCCCAAACTCATTCCTGG